CGCATAATCAGGACAAAGAAAGAGACGTTTGGTTTTTAATCAAAGATATCTTAAAGAAAAATGATTCAGTCTTTCAAAAGGTTCCAACGAGTGCACTGTGTCGTTTCGTTGTAATTAAATACATTTCTGGTGTGGTCAATCCAAATTTTGGAATTAAGCCTCTGATTTTCTTCTTCATTGGTATTTGGTCAATTACAATAAGTCATATTGCTGGATTCAATCTTCAACTAAGTTGTGAGTCAAGTTCATTATTGTTTGGATCAAGCCCAGCCTTGATTCTTCTTATGTTACTAGATCAATTGCGTATAAGTCACATTCTTGAGGAAGTTAAGATGGTCTTCCACGAAATTATACACGCTTTCTGCTGACTTATACCTTGATCTATATCTACAATTGATTAAAAATGAGACATATCAACTACGTAAACAGCCACATTCTCAAGTGCTGAGATTTTCTCAAATCTCAATGATTTCCAGATAGGAACATCTGCTGGCTGAACTGGTTGATATGAGACATTCTAGAAGATCAAGTTTTGTTATTGAATTTCAATTAGCAATTAAGTGAGTCTCTGATCACATGTCTATTGGAAGATTCAGCATGAATCTTCACGAAGTTTATTTTACACTTCTGCTGACAGAACCATTTGATTCAATTCTAATAAAGTTTGATTAAAAATGTTGATTCAATGTTGTGTCTAATTACGGGCATACGTTTCACTCTCTGAGAAAATACCAATTCATATTTTCTTTTAGGATTCAACAGCTTCAACCTCTTAATTATCGTTCAACACTGGTCTGCGATCACCTCGACGTGTAACCAGCTTTCTACATTCTACGTTATTTTAGATCAGCTATTTTAATTTCAGTTATTAACGCCTAATTCAAAATTTGCTAATAAATAAGTTTAAATAATTTTAATTAAAATTTCTCTTATTCTCATTTGATTAATTAACTTTCAAACATATTAAGCAATTTAAACCATATTAATTCTCTTTTAATCAGACCTCAAGAGCAGGAGTGTAGCAGCCCTGTTCCAGTTGTGGAACCTAAAAAGTCATTTAATAGATCTGGCAATGGGTCAACCTCCTCAGGGGCTGGAAACATGGACTTTGGAGGTCTGGAAGATACGGGCTGGAATGAACTAGTATCGGGACTTTCTTCGGAAGAAAAAAAATTGTCCCTAACGACCCTTCAGCACAGCAATTAGTATCCTTTCTCAGCCATTTATTTCATCAAAAGGTGTTGGCGTTTAGCTCTATTCTTACTCAAAAGTCTGCAATTATATCGATGGCGAAGCCGGAGAAGAGAGAAATTTCAAGGTTAACATCCGTTGGTGAAAGCTATTTTAAGCGCTATTGGTGCTAAGAGAGCGGAATCCTTGCGGAATAAGCCAAGTATGAGACTAAAGATCTAGAATATGGAAGTTCCTCTGAATTGGCTGAGGCGAAACCATCCCGAGGAGAACAGTACTTTTCAGGTCTCTCGCCACACAGTGGCCTTGTTGTTATTGGCGTCAGAAAGAAGGATTTATGACTTAACGTTACTGTCCATCGAGGCGGATAATTGTATCCAAGAAGAGGATACCATAACCTTTTGGCTCATATTCGGCTCGAAAACAGATAGAGTCAGTTGTAGATTTTCATATTATCTACAACTTTTGTCTAAAACATTTTTAATATCTATTATAGTTTTCGTTAAAAAAGGGCTTTTGGAGCAATTTCACCTCTTTTTCACCCTGGCGCTGGGTTCGCAACCCCTTAAAACTATCTCTTCTTAAATCTAGTATGCCTAGAAATATTTCAGCCAAGTTTGACCGAGGTTGAATAATTGCCATTTCAGGTCTAACTTAACTAGAATAGAAGTTCATCCAGATTATTCATGTCTGAGCAAGTATACATCGAAATAATTGCCATTGCAATTTCTTCGATTTTAAAAGGAAATGCAGTTCGCCATGAGGCGATTGACAGCTCATCGCAAGATTGATTAGACGTGGCTGATCAAATCCTGAGTTCAGCATAAAAAGAATGGCAGTAATTTTAGGGATCCCAAGAACAACAGTGCACGCTATTCTCCAACAAGAGGGATACCACCCACTTAAAAAATTACGAGTGCAAAAATTCCATGAAAATGATCCAGAAAAACGGATAAGATTTTGCAGTTGGATTGTGGAACAGGAGGAAGCAGACCCAGGATTCGTTGAGCGGATCATTTTTACTGACAAATGCACTTTTACGAACATGGGGAATTTTAATCACCATAATGTGCACCGCTGGTCGATTGAAAATCGCCGAAGTGTCCAGCGTCAATTTAAAATAAATACGTGGGCTGGCATAATAGGTGATCGAATGGTAATTTTCGTCTTCGTTTAATAACTCATCAATTAAATTATGCATTAAGAGAAGTTATAAGATGATTAATTAATTATTGGCATATCGGCTTCCATGAATTTAAAGAAAATTTAACATCAGCGAATTACACAGCCACTCTTGAGAACGACTTGCCAGTACTGCTGAAATCAAGGGGGATTAAGAACCCAGGATCTAGAACGATATAGTTCATGCAGGGTGGTGCACCATCTCATACAAGTGTGAACGCACGCCAGAACCTTCAACAGCAGTTTCCTAATTGTGTAATAAGCAAGTATGAATCCGTTGAGTGCCCACCATGCTCACCTGATCTGAATCCACTGGATTTTTTTCTGAGAATGCACATGAGAGATAAAGTGTTCGTTACACCAGTCCATGATCGGGACGAACTAATGGATCGGATAAATTCGTCGCCACAATCAGTCACGCCAGAGATGCTAGAAAGAGTAGCAGGAAACTTATTGAAAAGATTCAAGTTGCGCATCCGATTTGGTAGCGGCCATTCTGAACACGACAGACGGTAAAGAAAATCAAACTTACTTATCAATAATTATAAACAATAGAAATAGATAAGAAAAATTTTAATTCTTGAATTCTTCCCAAATGTTCACGGATTAGTCGAAGACGATGACGTAAGTGTTCTATCATCAAGTTCTGAAGACGATCCAGCAGATCCTATGTGGCAAGTGAATTGAAAGAAATGCATGATTATAGTGATGAATTAAGTGTATCATGGAAAATTGATTACAATGTAATCAAGAAATCAAGAAACATCAATTTAAAAAATGCAGTGATGCGAAATTTTTGAGTCACTTTTTTTCATCTGATTTCATAATTATAAAATTTAAGCATATTTCGACTGTTTTCCAAAAGAGTCGTTCTGTTTCTTTGCCTTCTATCGTTTATTACCTTCTCTTTGGTCCGATTCTTTAATTTCAAATTTTGACTATTCTATGACTATTTTATAAGAAAGTAGTACCGTTTCTCTGCCTTCTATCGTTTATTATAAATAACTAAATTATACAATATTGATAAAAATTATTGATTTTTTTGTTAAGTACTTGAGAAACATATTCATGTCAAAAATACAGTGATGCAAGATTATTAAGCTACTCTTCAGTCAGTTCATTTGAATATTGGTAATGCAGTGTTCTCTCGTTTCTCCCTATTTTATTACTGTTCACTTTGCCCCGCCTACTTTCTTGACGCGCGCAAATGGTGCCTTTCTGCTCGTTCACTTTTGATTGTTTATAATTTGAAAACTCTTGATTTAAAAAAATCTTTCCTCCGGAAATCTATTTATTTTATTATTCTGAATATCTGGTTTCCGGGATGTAAATATATGGTTTGTCACCTATTATTTACCGAATACTAAATATATATAAATTCTTGTTATAATTTGATTGTTAGCAGTTAAATTAATTTACCAGAAATTGTTTAGTATTCGAAGATGAATCAAACGACTTATCGGCATATAAGGCAACAGATCGAGTATATTTTGATAATGACAAGATATCTGATGAAGAAAGAATGCTATGTTTAACATGTCGCACTAACAAACCGAAGGCAGCATTCTATCCGTGCAACCATCAATGCACTTGCTTAAAATGTGAATGCAATGTAGAATTAAAAAATATGATCCAAAAGCAAAATCACTCGAGCAGGAAAATTATATGCACACAATGCCAGCAAGAGGCCAGCACATTGCAAACCTATAATATGTAAAATATTTTTTCGATTTTGAAGATTGGAGAGATATAGAAGAGAGAAAGAAGCAAAATGACGTTGTATGCAAAAAATGCTCACTCAATTATGGAGCAGTTAAAATTCATAGATCCAAAACATAATACCATAAATTTTATCATTATATTTTTTTAAATGTATGTTAAGGACGAGGTCAAATGTTTTACACTTTTATAAAGTATTTATTCTTACTAATTTTCTATGAAATAAACATTATTGAAGAATTGAAGAATTTTTTAAATATAAATTTGATATAATCGTAATAATGATAATAAACATAAGAAATATTTTTATATTTAGAATAATATTTTATCACCACAATATGTAAACTATTTTTTATGTTAGTCTTCTACATTTTTTAACAAAACTATTTCACTTTCTATACGTTACTGTAATAAGTAAATGCTTTAAAAATATTAAATTGAAATTTTTAAAATATTACGTAGTAAAATATATTGTTCATTTTTTAAAACAAGATTTGTTTGATTTAAGAAGGAATATAATTTTTTAATATAAAAATAGAAAAAAGAAAATTTTATATTCAAAACCGCATTGGCACTGCCATCTCTCAGAATATATTGACATTTTTTAACATTATTCCTCTTTTACTGACTTCAAATCATATATCGACCTATAATTTCTGAGTGTGTGTCATCGAAATTTGTGGTATATAAGGACAATATTCGTAAAAATAGAAATTAGTTAAAGAAGAAAGAAAGTCATCACGCAATTAGGGATATTTTTGCTATATGAAATTATGTAAAGGAATTTATTTATAATGAATAACATAGAATTTGAAAAGTAATAAATAGAATTCAAAACATTCAAAAGTATATAATTTGGAATGTATATTACTAGATTTGAATTTAGCAGTTAACAAAATGGAAGACCCTGTCAAATAAAACAGCTGATTAATTTGTATACTTTCCTACGAAATGAAACTGTAGAGTTGTTGTATGTATACACTTTTCGGTGTGACGCAAATACTCAGTGGCAAAATGGCAGGCGTTATTGCTCGCTGTATTCAGTTTCCAAAGAGACAATTAGGTAAAATTATTAATTACTATTAGTTTTTAATCGTATTCAAGTTAGAAAAATGCATTTTTACATCGTTCAGTCGATAAATAAATTGTTTATTTCGAATTTTTTGATTGTTATTGATCATAAATATGCTTTCACAACATTTTGACATACAGGTTATATAATTTGATGCAATATTTTTTTTATCACAGGTCTTTTTGGATCTGTATTGAATTCTCAGCAGACGAGGACTTATGCGGATGCAGCTTCAGAAGGGAAGGTAATTTACACTATGTTGGTTATAATTCATCACTTATATTATATTGTCATCAAGTTTTTTACAATTGTTAAAGAATAATTGTTCAGTGAAAAAATCAGGAAATTTTCTAAAAAATACTTACTAAATATTTCAAAAGACCCAAAAATATTAATAAAACTAATTGAGTTTCATATTAATAAACTAATGAAATATATGTTTTTCAGAAATTTGGAAGTCCTCTTAATGATCAAGATAGAATATTCACCAACTTATATGGCCGACATGACTGGAGGTTGAAGGGTGCATTAAAGCGAGGCGATTGGTTTAAAACTAAAGAAATTCTTGATAAAGGAGCAGACTGGATTATCAATGAAATCAAAGTATCTGGTTTACGGGGTCGTGGCGGAGCTGGTTTTCCTTCAGGAATGAAATGGTCTTTCATGAATAAACCATCAGACGGTAGACCAAAATATTTAGTAATAAATGCTGATGAAGGAGAGCCTGGAACCTGTAAAGATCGTGAAATTTTACGTCATGATCCACACAAGCTTGTGGAAGGTTGTTTAATCGCAGGTCGAGCTATGGGAGCATGTGCTGCGTATATCTATATCCGAGGAGAATTTTATAATGAAGCATCAAATATGCAAGTAGCTATAGCCGAAGCTTATCAAGCTGGATTAATTGGAAAAAATGCTTGCGGAAGTGGATATGATTTTGATATTTTCGTTCAACGTGGTGCTGGTGCTTACATTTGTGGTGAAGAAACAGCGTTGATTGAATCTATTGAAGGAAAACAAGGAAAACCAAGACTAAAGCCTCCTTTCCCAGCTGATGTAGGTCTTTTTGGATGTCCTACGACTGTTACAAATGTTGAGACCGTTGCCGTAGCACCCGTAAGTTAATTTTTTACCTCAAAAAATATGTTGAATAGACAAAAGTCATAACGAAAATGATACTAAGAAAATTAATTAATGGTTTATCTTATCGATTATTAATACAATTTCAGACAATCTGTCGCCGTGGAGGAACATGGTTTGCATCATTCGGTCGACCACGAAACCATGGAACTAAGCTATTTAATATCTCAGGACACGTTAATAATCCTTGTACAGTAGAGGAAGAGATGTCCATACCATTGAAGGAGCTAATTGAAAGGCATGCAGGTGGTGTCATTGGTGGCTGGGATAATTTATTAGGTGTTATTCCCGGTGGATCATCAACTCCTATCATTCCAAAGAGGTAAAAGCTAATATTAAGTTATTACTAATACAGTTATTAGTTCTACGGTTGGTTTAAATTAGATAATTCGTTATTCAGTTTCTAATCAGTAGTGTATATATTATAGTGTTTGCGATACTGTCCTCATGGATTTTGATGACCTTGTCCGTGTCCAAAGCTCATTCGGCACCGCAGCTGTGATTGTAATGAATAAACAGACAGATGTAATTAAGGCAATTGCACGGCTCATTAGTTTCTACAAGCATGAGTCGTGTGGTCAATGCACTCCTTGCCGCGAGGGAATTTCCTGGATGTACAAAATAATGAATCGGTATTTTTTATGTTTTTAAAATGATTGATTTTATTATTTTTGTTAAATCATTAGTTTTTTATGATTATAAAATTTTTTCAGATTTGTCGAGGGTAACGCGGAGGAAAGCGAAATTGATATGCTTTGGGAACTAACAAAACAAATTGAATTACATACGATTTGTGCTTTGGCTGACGGTGCTGCTTGGCCAGTTCAAGGTCTTATCAGACACTTCAGACCAGTTATTGAAGAAAGAATACAGAATTTCAAACAAAGAGCCACTAATTAAAGAGTAAACTAAATAATAGAATATGTATTTATAATCAATATTAAGTTTCTTGCTCTGATTGTAGTAATTTAAGTATTAACAGAGTAAATATCAATAATAAAATAAAGTTTTATTTAATTTTTATAAAAATTATTAGAAAGTTTTAATTACAAAGTTCTCCATGAATAATGACATAGCTTATTCTTATATTTATTAATGTCCACAAGTTGTTATATTCACTTATTCTTTTTTTTTTGTGTAAATACACTTATTCAATTTATAATTTTTATTCACACTATAATGGCATTTCTAACTCATACAAAAGATAAAAAGGTTTTTATGAAAATCAGCCAAATTAATCGTTTGAAAAAAGCAATTCAAATGATTACAAGAGTATTACCATGACCAAGTCATTTAGAAGTACCAACAACCGTTGAGAGAGTAATTGAGGAATTCAAAAAGAAATGTTAGTACATTATTATCTTTGTAATAATCCCCTATCGAAATTACATAAAAAATGATTACTCTAAGCATTGTTGTGAGATCTTTTTGTGTTCTCTAGGTTAACAAAATTTATTTTTTTGCCTTCAGTTATTATTGATTTTTACTTTGAAGTGTTAAAAGCATGAAGCATTTGAATTTATGTGAGAATAATTTACAGAATGAAAAAATCTAATTAAGTCGTGAAAAAAATTGAAATACGAATTTTTACTTGTGTAAATAATCGGTTGAGTCATAAATTATCCATATGTAAAAAAATAATTAAATTTCATGTAATTGACATGTTACAAGTTTTGATAATAAATATAATTGGAAGTTTAATGGTTAACTTAATTACTTTTTATTGAAAAATATTGATAATTGTTATAACTAAAACAGTAATAACAGTAATCATGATATCAAATCAACTAGTACGAGCTTAAATTTTGAGATTGTCGAATACAATCAAGCAGCTGTGTATTTTTTTGTCCACTTATATTTCTTTTTTTTATCCAAATATTACTAGTATTTTATTAAAAATTAAAGTAACTTGATAAATATAATATTTTGTGAGTTATTTAATAGTAATATTATTTGAATTTATCATTATTAATAGTTTGTAATGCTTTCATATCAATATACGTTATGCGCTACCCGTGTTTCGATTGGGCTAGTTGCACGGGAAACTTCTTTTTGATATCCGGATAACACGACGACAAAAGAGGTATTTTAGTCTTCGATTGTTTTCGGGAATCTTCGGCTGTAGTTGGAAGGAGAAAGAATTTCTTCAATACAAGAAAGATGTCACTACTCTAGTATTTGAATTTTTTGAATGGACCAATCAGAAAAGAGAATTTGCTCAAGAATATTCATATACTGCCAGCTATTGAGTATTGATAAAATAATAAACAATGATCAACCGAGAACCGCCGAAACGATACGAGAGTTTCCGAAGACTGAAATACCTCTTTTATCGTCATGTTTTAAGAATACTAAAAAGAAATTTTCCATTCGGTCAACCCAAAATACGGACGGTATACACGGTTACACGGGCGGTATCTTTTACTTATACAATGGTATGCTTTTATGCATGTATTGATGAAATTAACTTTTTAATGATTGTAAATGAGTACTTATAAACAATTTCAAAATGTTTAAACAATATTTATTATGTTTATGACTTGATTAATTCGGTTCAAACAGATAATTTGTTATTTGGTAACATAAGTAAACGAATGCAAATCAAGCTTAAAAAATAGAAATTGAGATTATTTATATTGTTCGGATAATTTTTTTCTAAAAGTGATAATGATCCAGATGTTTATAAATTATTGATGATATTTTTATAAAATAATGTTCAACTCATCGGCAAGTCAACTGACATGAAACGTATGAAGTAGAAATCACGGTTTTAAAATATTAATGTAATGATAAAGAAACATAGTTTATTATTTTGAATTATTACTTTTATGAATATTATTAATGTAAATGAATTATTTAGTTTATGATTATAAATTTTTAATGAGTATTTCAATATTTATTTTGTTATTCGATGCATCATGACAGTAATGAATAAGGCAAGAATTAAGATACCGCAATAAATTTATTAATTTGCAAAGATTTTGATGATTTGACATTTGAAACTATAATGGTAATTATCGTATTATAAACATAAACATAACAATAATATTAATAATAACAAAATAATAAAACTTCTAACTTATCGAACGATAATTAGATTTTTATTCGTTCATTATACAAGAGGTTTTATCATTTTTTCATTCACGAACGCTAACGATTCGCTTACTATAATATTATAAGTCGTTACAATGTGCGTATACAATATATATAATATATACAAAAGCGCTCGCTTGATTTACAGACAAGTTTTCCTCTATCATTTATCCTTTTAGTAAGGACTGTCTTTTTTTTGCATATTTTTTTGTTGCATTTTATCAGTAAATGTTAGTTTTTTTTTATTTATTAGGTTTATTTTTATCTTAAATACATTAATGTAGCGATTACATAATACGCTAACTCATGTGAGTTCTGCGAGATTTTGTTAGTAAGCGCACAAACTGTCTTTTATAATAGGTCCGTTGTGACAAATTCTCGTCCAGTGACTATAATTTCATCTATAATGTTTCCTCACTGACGTTATTATGCAGAATAACGCAGATTCTCATCCTAAGGCCAATTTGAAGACATACGTGATTGTGTAACAAAATAATATTGTCGGTGCCGGCGTGGCTTGGAACAATTCTTCAATTACATCATTATGTAATTTATCGATTTCAATCACTCTTTCGTTCAATTAACAATCTGACAATGGCATTTATAATTTTTACAATTATGATACGAATCTTATGAATAATTTATTTATTAATTGTAATATATTTTGTTTGTTGAAACACCAGTTCACCAGTTTTTTACAGATATGATTTATGCTCACGAATGTTTCTTCGTTAGGATGATTTTTGTTTATAATTACTGTTTTTAATTGTTGTAAACTTTTTTATTTCTGTGCACGCGCCGTCTAATTCCTGTATATTATTGGCCTATAAAAATAGACGTCTCTCTATTCGCAATTTCTTTTTATTTTGCTAACAAATCCTTGCTGCCTGAACAACTCGAGAGTAACTCAGATATGTATTTGATTGTTTCAATTAGTTTTTGATAAGAGTTTGCTTGCAAATATATCAGCAAAAATATCTAGCTATATACTGAGAGTATTCAATGCAAAAAGGAAAATATTTTTAACCTCTAAACATAATAATATTCTTACATTTTGTTTATGTGAATTCAATAGATACAAAGCTTTAATACAATTAAATATAATGCTTTCTCTAGAGCGTTTTTTTTTTTGGTTATCTTGAGAATTAGTGATTATTTTCTTTCTATACATCTGACGTTATTTAAAAAATATATTCTCAAATAACTATTTTTTTTAATGCAACTTCAAATTTCGTATTATATTTCCAGTTTTCCTTTACTTTAAATTTATATTTTTTGTTATATTATTTATAAAGTTATAACGTCCTTTTTGTAAATTTTGTACATTTATGAATATTCAAATGAATCATTCGTGTGAATTTATGTTTTTCGATTGATCTTCTTAACTTAATGGAAAAAATATAAACTGCCATACATTTTCAATTTTTTTTTACATTAAATTTAATTTTATGCATCAATCCATCTCAAAACTGCTTTTTCATTTACAAAAGATAAATTTTTAAACGAGTTTTGATGGAATTTCTGAGAGCATATATGTAAAGATGACAAAATTGTTACTCTCACTACACGTTTTAATTACTTAATAAATCGCCAAGCTTCTATTGATTTCAAGCTTCAATAGTAATTTTTTCTAAATAAATTTAATAAAACATGACAACCTACAGTTTCAAGAAATAAAATCAATTCTAAGAATTAATATTCTTATTAATAAGTATTGAAATATCTATATCTAATATAGATATTTTTACAAATAAAATTGTTTACAATAAATGACTTAAAAAAACTAAATCAACATATCACAGGCATACAAAAAATATACATTCCTTTATGCATCAAATAGTTAATAATGAAAAAGTAACAAAAAATAATAATGCTGCGTTGTCTCGAGTTACTCAGAAGAAGAGAAGCTTACGCGTGGGTGATTGGTCCCACGATTTCGGGACCGGAAGCTACTATTAATCTGAATAATGGAAGCTTCGTAACTTGGTTGACCACGAATTTTACATCCAATTACTATTCTAATCCTTCTTATCTAATGGATAAGCGATGAAAAGTTAACAGTAACATTAACTTTCTCTTGTAACTTTAATCCCAAGCCAAACACGTAATAAGGAAGATAACGAGTTTCAATAGGTCAGCCAAGTCTCGAAGGATGCTAACGGATGGAAGGCACGGGAGAGGATATAAAAAAGGATGCGGAGGTACAGTTGCTCTCAGGAGATACGTTTTTTAAGGATAATGACAGTGGTTGACTATCGATCCTCTTCCTTCCACTCGCAAGATGCCCACGCAGGAAGAGGAGTCTCATATTCCCATCCAGGACCACAATAACGCCAAGCATGAAGATACATGACCAAGTCTGAAGGCTTTGGGTCTCTATATTTCACCTTACATTCATAACAGTGAGGGTCTACGGTAACTTTGTTGTTGGTAAATGTTGTATCTGGTGGTTCTGATCCAGTTTGAGTTCCAACTGTGACTTTCAGCGTACTGAGAGTTGCCTCTGGCTGTTGCTGTTGTTCCTCTTCAATGGGACCTGGTGTTGATGATGGTGAACTCTCTTTATCAGCACTTGAGTTTGACACACGATCCTCAATGTCTAATTTAGGTTTGAAGAGGCTCATTTCTGAATCACCATCCATTCCTAACCAGTTTTCAGCATTGTGAATGCCAATGAGGTCCTTGACTAACTCTTCATCAGTTTTGCCAATGTTTCCGCCCTTTCCCTTTTCCGGTCCAAAGACCACATGATTGTAGAGTGGGTCATTAACTACTGGATAACCAAGGTACTGTAGGTGAACACGAATTTGATGCATTCTTCCAGTTTGCGGTTTGCAGAGAACTACTGATGATTTTCCATTGTAGCTCAAACGTTTAAATCGTGTTACACAATCTTTGCCTTTCTTCGATACTTTACAAACGCCAATTTTATATGAGACGACTTCAATTGGTTCTGAACAAACTACTTCCTCCTCCGGAAATTCTCCTTCAACACGACACACGTACTGCTTGTGCACCTAGAACAAATTATTTTATTAGTGATTATATAATACTTTCATACATCAATATATTAATTTAAAAAATTATCTAAGTACAATAAAGTATTTGTTTGACTTTCGCTAATTTTTTTAATTTCTTTTTATTCATAATTTATTATGACAGTACTGATAATAATACTTTAATGGATTTTATGGAGTAATTTTACTTCAAAATTCATCCACTACAAACTCCTGAGGCTTTTTAAAAAATATTACTTTTAATTCTATCCCATTAAAATAACCCTTTAGTTAGTAAAGTAATTTTTTTATTGCGTGCATTTTCCACAGATAAAATAATTTGTCAAATGTTTGTGAATATGTAAAGAGCATCAAGTGATTTATTACTTTTATTTTGTATGCATATTATATATTAATGGCTCATAATTCATGTCTGTTTTACATAATGTTTTGCTTTATTTTATTATCCAATTTTTTCGTCTAATAAAGTATGTCATGCTTGAATCTAATATATTTCATTACAAAATAGTTTATAACTAATAAATCATTAAAAATTATTTGTATTTGTGTTAATAATATGATAAGTGGCTCGAGACTTATTAAACACGCAAAATAATGCTACTTTCTAAAAGCAAGCAAAGTGAAAAATATTTGATCACCAAATGTATTTTTTTACACGTATAAACGTTTACTATTATCCCAAAATTTTATTACATAAATATTTAACTGGAGAATACAGATAAACAGAGATAAAAGTTTATACAAATAGAGGTACAACAAAATACGTTTTAACGTGATGTCCATTATAACGAACGAAAGCTTTACAAGGGATAAGCAAATTACATTGTTCAAAATAATACAAAATTCCCAAATGTAGATAAAGCTTTTTATTTTATTGTAACATGATACTAAAAGAAAATAAAATAATAACCCTAAATAAATACACACCTGTCGGTTTCTGATTTGATGCTCCATTTGTCTAGCTTTTTTTGGTGTTCGTCCAAATAAAAGTATTCCACTTGTAAGCCTATCCAGTCGATGAATAGTTCTTAAATTCTTCAAGTTGTACTCTTTTGCAAGAATAAAAACCACCGTATTATGTCGATAGCGACCACATGGATGAACCTGTAATCAATAAATAAATAATTACCATTGCTTAAATTATTTGACATTTGCTATTTAAATGCAAAATCCAATCAGAGATGAATAAAACACAAACTATCTACATTTATCATAGATAATATAGAAATATTAATTGGATAATTATCTGCTATCAGTTAGGAAATATGGGAATAATGATGGGATTATTACAGAGAAATAAACAAGTAATAAAACAAATATATGTGTCAGTTTATATTACGGTTTTACGATTTAATGTTGAGTTAATATATTGCAGCTAAAACGTGCAAAAATTTTCTGTATCATTAATACCAAGTTCAAAGTATATTGATAAATTTGATTTTGATTCCAAATGTGTAATGTTATTTTCTTATTCTCTATTTATCTTTTTTATTTATTTTAATTAAATCATTACAAGTATTTATTGTATATATTATTTGCATGGTGAACTTGTTACGAATTTAAATCGTCTCTATTATCATAATTACGTTGAATTGGTCATTGAAAGTAATAATGATTAAAAATTATTTATCCATTTCTTCCAAGTGGTTGTGCAATTGATTCTACCGTTAAATAAAATTATATTTTTATGTTAATTCACCAATTGGATTGTTTTCTAGTTAATTGGTCTTAATTTTAAATTCATCTCAATTACTTTTCTTAACTCAAGTTATTTTTCCTTTGAATAATGGAGTGATTCTTTTGAAATTAAAAAGAATAAATTATTTGTTTGCATAAAAATAATCATTATCATCAGATTCTTATGATATTGATAGAATTGAAAGGTCTATCGAGCCGCGTACGGAAGAAGATAGACTCGGAGCTGGAATATATAAACAGGAAGACGAACCTCGTAAATCAGAGATATGCTTCGGTTGCAGCTGTTATATGAAAACCCTCGATTAAATGAATTGGCAAGCCACCGATATCGGTGCTATATTCATGTACGTGTATATAGATATATATAGAGCTTCAATTGGATTGTGGCGTACCACACGTCAATAGAATTTTTGTGAGATGCCTTCAACGATCGAGTGTCACGCGAATAAAAGTTGTGATCCTCTAGACTCAACTGTAGACTCTACAATATACCAGTTTATGAATGGAGCACTAGCAAGAATATATGTCTCATAACTTCTTACGTTTTATTTCTACTCTACCCCACCCAAAGTTGGCTCGTAAAAGTCATCGAAGAATTGACGTAACGTATGACTTGTGTGCAGCTGTTACACACTTACTTAAATGCATACTTATAATCCAAGACTTCCACAAATGTGAAGGAACTTGTAGTTATATTTTTCTCTCATTTTCTATTTATTCATTTGTTTTTTTATTCAAGATCAAAGTTAGATCTTGAGTGATTTCAATAAGATCAAATAATAAATAATAAAAAACTGAAGCGGAATGTAGTAAAAAATATCGTTAATAAATTCATAAAAGTAAAAAAATTTTCAGTGTTTTTGAAATAACCGCGGTTATTATGTGCTTTCTTATGTAACAATTATGTTGTTGTAGTATCTTGTAAATATTCTTTACGTCGAAGTGCAATAAAAAAGTTGAAGTCTGTGATGTAATTTTATGTCAATCTTCTTGAGATGTTTTTTATTATTATCTTATTTATTTTGTGAGCCATCAAAAATTTAATGGTATTTAATTTGAAGATGTCGAAACAAAACAGGTTTATTCTACTTCTACAATATTTTAGAGAAAAAAAATGATAAGTTTGAAGAAAAAAGAATTAATTTAGTGAGAATGATACAATGGATGTATTTTTATAGCTGATAGATAGTATTTTTTAATAGAAACAATAATTAAAAATTTAATAATTATCGATAAAGAAATTTATCAAGCTCGTTATAAAGAAAAAAATTAATTAACTTTGTTTTATATGATAAATCGGAATAATTTCGTGTATATTAAATTTATAAAATTTTCATTATGAATTTAACGAAGAAATGATCGAGAATATAATGAAATTATCGCTGTACAAATTGTAATGATTTTATGATTAAACATTCGTTTTTAATGTTTATATAAAGGTAGTAATTTTATTGTCAACTCGACGTATTATTTATGACTGAGTATTTATCGATTTGTTAAATTTCATCGGTTGAACAAGTAGAGAAAGATGAGCACAGAATAGTTTGTGTAATATGCGATTTCTATCGCGAATACATTGTCCACGCACAGTTTGTTTTTCGTTGATGCAATTACTTTTAGTTGCTGTTTTTGATCACTATCTTGTTCCCTTCTATATACGTTTTTACCATCAATGAATATGAAAAATATTGACAAATTTATATCTCAAATATTTTTTATACGCTAACTACGAAACTGACTGTAAAAGAAATAAATATTTAATACAAATATAAAAATTTTCCAGCAAATTGTTACAAGGATTTTCAAATGAAAATTTATTTTTTCAGAATAGCTCGCTTAATTAAAGATTTTCATATTCATTTCATAATTATATATTTTTTTATATTTATATGCGTTTTCTTGTTTTAAAAAATGTATGAATATTATTTTTCAACTAAGTTAAATCCGATAACGGTTTCGTTTTCATTCAATTTTTGTTTCTGTCACTGTTTCTCTTATTCGCACATTTATTTATTTCTTTTGTCTGTCTCTTTTGTGGTTTTTTCAACATGAATATGGAAATATTTCGACGCGCCGACGCGGATATCACAGTCGCGCGGATTCTCACAATGATTTCGCGCTCATATACATATATAGACCTCGAGCTCGTTTATCCTAATTAGCAATTCCAGCGATAGTGCACGCTTTTCTCTTTTATTCGAGTTCCTCTCGTTCGTTTGAAAATAATTCTGTCCATACAGTGCGTTGTGACTGCAATGACATTAAATTTTTTTTCTTTTCATTTCTAAAAAAATTTTTTAAATTTAGTATATAAAATGAATAATCTGAATATCGATAAAAATATTAGTTTGATAATTTTATGAAAATTATTCAATCAAGTTTTACAGCTTTATTTTTTTTTTGTTGAAAATCTATAGAAGATCAAGTAGATTGCACGTATGACTTGTCAAAAGACTTCAACAGATACTTTGATAGCTTTGTTAATAAACTATAGAGCTTTTTAACAATCAAGTTTATTTCAGTTTTTATGATTTTTTTTATGAGCAATAATTTTTTCAAAGGACAAAAAATATAAAAAAATTACTTGAGTTAAGGAAATATTTTTTTTACAAATATTGGAAGCCTTTAGTAATAAATATTCATTCAACTATTATTCTGATAAAATAATCTCATTTAACTCTTGTATACCTTCTGGACCTGCAGAAGAATGTTCAGCGCTACATGGGGACTGAAGCCGAAAACAATAAAATGGCTGTACACAGCTGTTGTCATTCCCCAACTAACCTACGCCTCCATAGTATGGTGGACCTCCGTCAGGAGGAACGCCTGCAGGAAGCAACTAAATAAAGTCTATAGAGCGGCACTGCTAGGTATAACGGGAGCCCTGAGGACGACCCCAACCCTAGCTATGGGCTGCCTACTGAGCATCCCTCCGCCGGAACTGATGGTGGAGGTGCTAGCGAAGAGGGCGGCCATCCGCTTGAGGAGCCATAGACAGTGGACGAGCTTTCGAGCTGGGCATGCGGCGATTCTGGGCCCGGAGGACCCTACGGGACTCAGTGGCAAAAAGGTCGATCGCTGCCCCAGGAAGCTAGAATTCTCACCCGGATACGAAGTCATCTTCATGGACAGACGGACCTGGCTGGAGGAAGGCGAGGAATCGCTTACTCCCAAGGGGCCTGTCTGGTACGTGGATGGGGCGAAGTGTAAGGGGGGAGAGGCCGGAGCCGGAATCTGGTGCGGGGGACCACGGGTGGAGGAATCCTACACCCTGGGCCAGGACGCTTCCGTGTTCCAGGCAGAGGTGTACGCAATCCTGTTATGCGCTATGCATATAACCAAAAGAGATTGCACTGGGCAGCATATCTATATCTGCAGTGACAGCTATGCTGCCTTAACGGCTCTTTCGCAAGTGGCTACCTGTTCAAAACTCGTGGACCACTGCAGAAGGGTACTAAAACAAGCGGCATGCCGCAACAAACTGAAGCTGCTAAAGGTACCAAGTCACTGCGGTATACGCGGCAACACCGAAGCTGACAGGCTGGCCCGTATTGGCGCCAGCGGCGGAGGTGACAGGGGCCCAGTGGAGATAAACGCTCCCGGGGAACTTGTAAAGGCGCTGGGGGACAAGTGGCTGCACAAAAGATTCACCAGCTACTGGGCGGAGACCTCGGGGATGAGGCACACCAGAGCGTTCATCAGGAAACCCACAACTCAAGTGAGTAGGGACCTGATCGAACTGGATAAAAGAAGGCTAAGAGTGGCCGTGGGCACCGTCACAGGGCACTGGCTAACTCGACGCCATATGAAGATGCTGGGACGCGGAGAGGAATCCGCGTGCCGGTGGTGTGGTGAGGAGGAAGAGACGCCTCTCCACATGATAAGGGAATGCTCGGGGCTAAGGGAACCCAGGCAGCGCCTGTTAGGGAACCTTGAGACCGACGCACCCATCCTTGAGACGGTCGGGACGGACAGGCTTCTGCAATTTTGCTACGAGGCCGGGCTGTACCAACCCACCTAAGACCGCCTTTACCACAAGCTTGGACCCAGTACAATGGCCCCGTGGCTAAGTGCAGGGGAGGCGGGGCAGATTAATGGGGAAAACTCTTGTATCGTTTCAAAATATTTTCGAATAAAACAATACTGTTTTGTGTAAAAATAATAATTTTTTAAACCCATTGAATGTAAAAAAATTAGTAAATTGATTTATTCATTTATAAAAAATTTAATAATGTTATTCAAAAAAATGAATTGGAATAAAAAAAAATTTTATTTATTGGTGAATTGTTTAACAAAATAGACTAGAAAAATTCGCTAATTAAGTTGTCGGCATAATTTCTTATATACAAATATTTCAACTATTTTTACAAACTACTCTAAAACTGACTTTTTCTTTTAAAGTTTTTGTCTCATACATAGTCGAGAAAGCAAATACCCGCAGTCAGAAAAACGGCTCTTAAGAGTACAAGGAAGGTATGGAATTTTCTTACAAATAACGTTAGTATAAAGCAAACGGTAACAGGTGGATAAAGATGAAAATATAGTACAAAGGATATACAAAAGGTACAACTACGAAGGTTAGTTCTGACAAAAGTAATAAGATGCAATGAAGTGTTGATTTATAGTATTAAAAAAATATAAAGGTATGTAAGTAAAGATGAAAAAGCTGACAGATGAATAAAATAAATCGCACATACAAGTGGAATTGATTGAGCAGCAGAAAGTAAAAAAGTGCGAATGAAAGAATAAGAAATATTGAAGTTGATAAAAAAGATAGCAGAGATGGAAAAAGGGAATAGAAAAATATGAAGCTAAATATATATTTATATATATATGTATAGCATGAAGCATGATATATTTGGCAGTACAGTCCTGGCAGTACACCACTTACAGGGATGGAGGCGGGCTTGTTGACCACGACGACGTCCTCGTCCATGTGTATCACCGTGATCGGCTCCGAGGTGACAGGCACCTCGTGTCTGCAACACACCAATCGTAACCAGCTTAACGTGGCTTTGAGCTTTACATTTACTCGTACATCTCTCATTCATTAATTTTACATTCAAACAACATTTCCTTTTTTTATTTTTATTTGCATTCATCTATATGTTGCGTAAATATTGATTCAAAAAATATTAATTTTTAATTGTTTGCTAATTAATTCTTTTACAGATTTCGTTCGTTATAATTAATGAAGCTAATGAATGCATTTATATTTGAACGAAATTTAGAGCATGAAATATTGATAATTGTTGTTATTGATTGTGTACAATATTTTTTTTCTTTACGTTCTTCTTAAATTAATGAGGTAATTTAAAAAAGTACTCTCATGAAATAAATAGTCTAACTTATTAATTAACATTAATTCCAATTTTCTTCATTTTCAAATTAAATATTAAACATTTTTGTTAAATTTTTGAAAAGTATTTACTTTTATAAGAAAACCAAATCAATTAATTATTATATAAAGTATTGAAAACAACTTTGGAAAAGTAGTCTTACAAAAAAGAGTCGAAAATCGAATACTTTTCGAAATAAAAATTTCAAACTTACTTCCTATAAATCTACAAATTTTCGTGGAATTTTGAGAAAAATTTCTTTTGACCCAATTCATGAAAACACTTTCTTGGGGATTAAGAAAGAATTATTCGATTATTTTTTATGAAATTTTTGTTTCATTCTCGTAAGAATGTTGGTGTAATAACAGTCATTAGTTATGATGCACATGATACTATCAATAACTATGTAACCAAAGCAGTAAAAAATATAGACATACTTTGCAACATTGTAAATAATAATTAAAATACATTAGACTATTTTTTTGTTACAACACTGATCAGATTTCGATAATGAATTAAATGAAAATAAAAGATTGAGAAAATAATACAGATAAACTGAAAAAAAATTTTAATTTGTTAATTAGTCTTACATTAACGTTAAATACAATTAATTATTTTTCCTCGAGTTTGAGTTAATTGTATTCTAATTAATACAAGTTTAATAGTATAATTAAATCAAGGAGTTGGTGGGAACATGTCACATTGCAATGAAATGTAGCACATCTCTAAATTGTTCCTGTATGTGTGTTCTATTATATGAGTGATTATCCGGGGACCTACAAATGAAATTAGCAAACTATAATCTATCGATTCGAGGTATTCAATTAGTTGGATTTACGATTGTCTTTCTCCCATTCACTTATTCCTCAGAGAACACAGGACTATTTGGCATCAAGCTAATTTACTTAACCACTAGCTCACCTGTGTCAGGGTTAGTCATTTTTAGTCGTACAACATACAAGAAAGAGAGAGTACGATTAATTTCATTTCCCCGACAAATTATGACTGCATTTATTGCTTAAGTACGGTTATTACTTTATGAGTCTAATTGAAACGATGCTCATTCTGAGAGTTTTGATGCTTGGTGGGTTTTATTCTTGTTATATTGTTGTAATAATTAAATCTCATGATTCAGTTGTATTTATAAATTAATCTAATAAAAGCAGTTCTTTTTATCGGTGGTAAATCGAATAATAGCTCTGCTATTCAACAGATTAAAAAATATTCTTAATTCATTATTTTCTGTTGGAACTTCTCAATTTATTTGTACGTGAAAAAAAGAAGAAATGTCCCGATAGACAAGAGTTGAAATTTGACATCGATTTGAGCTTAAATTGATGCCAAATTTCAACTCTTGTTATCGAGGTAGTAAATAACAAATATTATTTTTTTTACAATAATTTTTCATAACTGAAATAACTTTTGTAAAAATGATTATGAAAGTAGAAAAAAGTAGTTCTTTTTTTTTGAGTGATAATTACTCTAGAATTTTTTACATTTCATTCACAACTCAATCGGCTGTTATGTTACTGACCTTGTGTTAAATAGATCAAGTGCCCTCTTACTTTCTTTAATATTAAATAAAGATTACAAGGAAATACGATAATTGAATTTCCCTTCAGTAGTACATCAATTAATTTACATTAACTATCAAAAGATATATACCACCTGTCTAATGATGACATAAAAAAATATTGGTATGTTTTAAATTGATACTTGGACAATCAATGTCACGTCATTGAATCAATAATTCATGTTTAAATTGGGCAAACAACCAATCTTATTCTTTCTAAAGACGTGGCACAATCAAGACAACAAATTCAGATAATACAAATCGAATATAAAAAAAATCAATAAAAATGAACGTGAAAAGATCTGTAAAATTATTTAGAAGTGAATAGAAAAATCATTCAGAGTTATGATTATTATTCAAATAGAACTTCATAGAAGGCTTTATCTGAAACGATTCAAGAAATTGGGCAGACAGATAAGACATTTAGAAGAAAATGCTTCTGTACACATAAACGCGTTGGCACGTATGAGATAAGGAAATTTTCGTGAATTCTCACGACAATGTAGTTTAACTTTATAATTATTATACACCTGAAACGTGTAACCCCCAGCGTTGTCTCAACACTTGCTCTCTTTCTTCTTCTATAGATCTTAAGCTAGTACATCCGAGAATTCTCATTAATATTCTAGAAACTCACGCGAGATTAGTACGATCGATTTTCCCTTGAGGGTAAGAGAAACACAGCTTGTGTGTACATGCCTCACCAAGCTGCTTATGGTTGTTCATGTATACATGAAGAGAGTAGCGTCGATGCACCTTGATGCGTCTCCATGTCCACACATAGTGGAATTCCAAACCTTCATCTTCATGAACCAACCCCAACAGCCCAATACAGAAGCTCAGTCGACACGCGATCAAGTCAAACTAATGCAGATAAACGCTCCCAAGGTGCAGACGAGCCACCAGATTTACTGATATCATCACTGCTACCAACAGATATGCAGTAGAAAGGATTGAGCAGGAAGGAAATAGGAATCTACTCATAAATCATCCTGTCACTTGTCCGTACCGCGCCCTCGACCCTCAAGCTCATGTAGATTTATCTACTTCCATTCTGGCATTTATGTTTCACCTTCTTCTTCACTCTCTTTATTTCAGGAACAACCCAATCGTAGAATATATCTGATCCATTACTGATATTTGTTGATGTTGTGATAACGTTTATAATAATTTTTTCGTTAGCAAATTTGTCTATTGAATTTGCAATCTAATTTATTATTTATGCATAAAATATTTGAGTCTTTCTCATACTTAGTTTTATTGAATTTTGATCTAAAAAAATTGTATTTTGTATAAATCGAATAAATATGAAAAATGTATTTTTTGTTCATTTTAATTATTTCAACATGATTAAAAATTGAATGAATAATTCAAATTGATATGAATGTAAAGAACTTGGAAACATTAAAGAGCTTTTTCTAAATAAATTTAATAAATTATTGAATTCAGATAATCCAAGTTAATTTATCAAATAAAAATATTTTATAGAATGAACGTTTTTTTCAATCATAAAAACATTCGCAACACATATTAAAATATTCAATTTTTGATTTTATTAATAATGCTGCATTTATAAATGACAATAATGAAAATATTTAATGGAAGAGAAATATTCAGATATATTTTGAAATAATTCATAAATTTGTAAGGCTGGATTACATCTCGTAAGTAACGTACATAACTTCCATGTAAAATCCACTTGTTTTAACTTACGACAAGTGGAGTTTGTATAGAGTTTACATAGGATCGAGTTTCGTTAGTAACGTACAAGTGTAATCCAGACCAATGGACAATAAAAATTCGACAACTTCGTTATCGAACAGAGAAATTTTATTATTATTTGTAACATAACTTTGTTGCTCTATTTTTTAAAAACATTATCGGAGTTAAAACGAACTTTTCAATAATGTGATAGCATTCTAGCAAAAAAAAAACTAATTATTTTGAACAACCGATAGGATGTTAATAAAAAATCACTAGAAAGCCATTATTTTTATAGTATATCACAATTTTCCAACGGATCACTAACCAATGTCAAGAAACTAAAAATTTATTATTGAAAATCTTTTCGAGTATTGAACTCATTTTGCTTTACTATGTATTGTGAAAGTTAAACAGAAAAATAATTAAAAATAACTGGTTGGAGTTAATCCTTGGGAATTGAACAAAAAGCAGGATTTAAGACTAATTTTATGTAAAACTAAGTGGATGAAAATTTTTTACAGGCTTTTCTAAAGCTAAGTGAAGGAGGAGGAACAAATTTATTTAAAGTATGAAATGACTTTAACTTGAATAAATAATATAATCAAAATAATTAATTTCATATAACATTGTTATATGAAACACCCAGAAACCCTTTAACGATCATACTACTATCAATGCATTTTTCATGTGTCAATAAGCTTCATTTGTAAAACATGATCAAATTCTTATTCAATGTATTCTGATATTTAGTAAATTTGATTTCACGTTACATGTGACAAAAATTTTATTTTGAATTTTCGACATTTTTTTCGATAGAATTTTTTAAATTCTGTATTTAATTCATTTCTAAATTCATTGGTTTTTTTTGTCATGGTAAATATGAACTAATTTGTTAAGCATCAAATTTTAATCATGAATTTGCAAATAATTAAGATAAGACAACGGAAGTTAAATAAAATAACATACACTTTTTCTTTATTAAAGTACTACATCTTTTGATCAATCAAGAGTTATCATGTAAGAATCCTCTGAGAAATTTTCGTTAACCTTTGAACTGAGCTTTTGCTAGAAAACATTGGTAGAAATCAAGATAAAGTATGGTAGACGATACAGAAATCTCAAAGGAAATTTTTATTTCATTAATTGTATTATTGACTATTCTCTAAAATAATAAATTAGAGAGAAGACAAAAGGCACAAAACGAGATGACAAATTCGAAATAACAATGTCGACAATTTGATTTTGATTTGGAAAATGGAGAAAGATAAAACAAAGTATATAAGCTGCAGGGCACAAAGTCTTGACTCGACCGTTACTTACAGTTATATACTATATTCCACGGACAAAATCCTAAGAGTTTTAA